TAACAGCCTCCGGTGGGAAAACCCTCCAGCACCCAGCATTGGTGGGTTGGGAGAAGAAATCCCTGACTCTTTGTGGGGTGGAGAAGGGGATTCCTCCAAATTCTCCTTCTGGGGCATCTGGAGCAGGTACAACCTGCACCGTTGATTAAGTGTTTCCTTTCATGTCCAAAGATCAAGGAGATGGAGGGCCACCACGGGTGGTCACCCCCCACCTCCCCACTAACAGCCTCCGGTGGGAAAACCCTCCAGCACCCAGCATTGGTGGGTTGGGAGAAGAAATCCCTGACTCTTTGTGGGGTGGAGAAGGGGATTCCTCCAAATTCTTTGGAGCCATGAAGTTTGGTGGCCCCAACGTGGTCCTGGGCCCTGCAAGGCTCCAAGGGAAGTTTCAAGTGCTCATCACCTCGCCCCAGCAGGGTTTCTGCACCACAAGGGAGATGGATGTGGCTTCAGCAGGATAAAACCATTAGGAATGCTGGTTTGTACTGGTTTGTACGGGTGGAAGACCCTTGGGGGGAAGCTGCCACCCCCGTGTGCTCCAGGAGCTGGATACTGGGGACGACTGGTCCGGCACTGGTAAGAAGGGGGTTTACAGCCAAAACACCTTTGGACTCCTGGAGCTTTGGAGATTCCCTTTGGAAGGAGGCAAAGGGCAGCTGAGATTTCTTCATGGAAATCCCGTGAGGATGGGAAAAACCTTGGGAGAAAAGCTCCATCCTGGAGGAGGAGGAGGAGGTCTCATTGCCTGTGCCCTTATCCCCCCCCCACTTTGCAGACACCAGGCAACACTGAACGTTTCCCACCCCTAAAACCCCACTTGCTTTCTGTGGGGCCCCCAACCGCCCCCCAAGCACCCCCTTCTCCCCACGGGCTCTACAAGGAGCTCATGTCCTTGGCCACCTCTGTCCCCTCCCTGGAGATTCCTCCTTCCCCGTCCAGCCCACCCTGACCTTCCTCCCCCAGCTCCGGCTCATCCCCCTCTTCTTTAGCTACAAAACACACCTTTACCAAACCTTACAAAAAAAGAGATTAAGATCCTTAGTGTTTTGGGGTTTTAAAGCCAATTTAAAAGCCTGTTGCCCCCAGGACGCGCCGCCTGAGCCAGCGTTCCCAGAAAGCCCCAGTAATTAGGGGAGGACCAAAAAAAGAGATTAAGATCCTTAGTGTTTTGGGGTTTTAAAGCCAATTTAAAAGCCTGTTGCCCCCAGGACGCGCCGCCTGAGCCAGTGTTCCCAGAAAGCCCCAGTAATTAGGGGAGGAATGGGATGGAGCCTGTTTGTGGGTAATTACTGGCAGGTTAAATGGGTTTATTTCTGCTGTCAGGCTGCAAAACTGCTCATATTCATTCGCCTGCTCAAGTTTCAGGTCCTTGCCGGGGGGCCTGCGAGTTTGGAAAGGGAGATATTTAATCAAGTAATTACTCTTAAAAAAAAATAAAAAAATAAAAAAATTAAATTGAATCCTCTGGGTTAGTAGATCTCAAGAAATGCTTCGGGAGAGGTTTTTTATTGTGCCCTGAAAACTCCAACCACCTCCAGCTCCAGGAACTTTGAGCTTCTGCCTCTTTGGGAAAGATTTCTGCTGGCAGTGGGAAAGGAAAGGGGCAGCCAAACGTCAGCTCACCTGAAATGAGGGAAAAGGGGTGAAAAAACACTCCCCCAAAATCTGGAAGTCTCATTTTCAACCTTGATTTCACTCCTAGGAGGTGGCGGAGATCAGTCTAATATTTAAGTGAGTTCAGCAACTGTCAAAACCGTATTTTCCTAAAGCTTTGAAACAGAAGTAGAGCAATCAGAACCCAAAATAAATTAAAAAAATATATATCCTTCTGCAAATATTCCAACTGCTTTAGTTGGAAAAAAGTTGGATAATTTAGTTGGAGAAACCCCAGGGAGAAGGAAGAGTGTGCTTGCAGATAAAGGCAGGAAAGAACCATTTCTTACCCAAAATCTGGTTGGGAAATGCAAAAAAAATTGCCCACAACCCGTTGGAAATGCCCCCCGGGGCAGGGATGGGGTGGTCCCTCGGGGGACACGGTAATTGGAGAAAGCACAGGGAGAAGGAAGAGTGTGCTTGCAGATAAAGGTAGGAAAGAGCCATTTCTTACCCAAAATCTGGTTGGGAAATGCAAAAAAAATTGCCCACAACCCGTTGGAAATGCTCCCTGGGGCAGGGATGGGGTGGTCCCTCGGGGGACATGGGAGGTGGGGGGTGAGGATCCAGCTCTCCCCACTGAGAGAGCCCAGCCCGTGGCACATCAGCTCTCGTGGGCCTCCCCATGGGCCCTAAACGAGGATAAATTGGGCACGTTCCAGGGCGGGCAGGGATCGTGCTGTGCTCAGCAGAGATAAGTGCCCTGTGAAGGCTGGCACCGTGGCACGTGGAGACAGCCTTGGCCAGGAGAGGTGCCAAGCTCCTCTGCTTTTATAGCAGCCTTCCAACACCTCACGGGGCTCCAGGAAAGCTGGGGAGGGACTCTGGATGAGGGAGGGGAGCCCTAGGAGGAGGGGGAAGGGTTTGACCCTGAAAGAGGGGAGATGGAGCTGAGATGTGGGGAAGAACTTGTTTGGGGTGAGGGTGGTGAGAGCCTGGCCCAGGTTGCCCCGAGAAGCTGTGGCTGCTCCATCCCTGGAGGGGTTCAAGGGCAGGTTGGAGGGGGCTTGGAGCAACCTGGGCTGGTGGGAGGTGTCCCTGCCCAGGGCAGGGGGTGGCACTGGGTGGTCTTCAAGGTCCCTTCCAACCCAAACCATTCTGTAATTCTACAATTGCAGTTCAAGGAGGACAGGGAACTGCTGGAGAATTCTACAATTGCAGTTCAAGAAGGACAGGGAACTGCTGGAGAGGGTACATCAAGGGGCTGCAGAGATGATGAGGTGCCTGGAACATCTCTCTGATGAGAAGAGGCTGAGGGACTTGGGTCTTTTTAGTCTGGAGAAGAGAAGACTGAGGGGGGATCTGATCAACACCTATAAATACTTCAAGGGTGGGTGTCAGGAGGATGGGGCCAGTCTTTGCTCAGTGGTGCCCAGGGACAGGACAAGAGGTGATGGGCACAAACTTGAACATAAGAAGCTCCATCTAAACATGAGGAGGAACTTCTTCACTTTGAGGGCGGCAGAGCCCTGGAAGAGGCTGCCCAGGGAGGTGGTGGAGTCTCCTTCTCTGGAGACATTCAAAACCCACCTGCATTTAACTATGAACTTGGGCATTTTGGTACAAGACTTGTGTGGAGAGGCTGAGGGAGCTGGGGGTGTTCAGCCTGGAGAAGAGGAGGCTGAGGGGAGACCTTCTTGCTCTCTCCAACTCCCTGAAAGGAGGGTGTAGCCAGGGGGGGTCGGTCTCTTCTCCCAAGGAACAGGCGATGGGACAAGAGGAAATGGCCTCAAGTTGCACCAGGGGGGGTTTAGGATGGAGATTGGGAGAAATTTCTTCCCCAAAAGGGTTTTCAAGCATCAGAACAGGCTGCCCAGGGAAATGGTGGAGTCACCATCCCTGGGTTTATTTAAAAGCCAGGCAGACGTGGTGCTGAGGGACATGGGTCAGTGTGAGGTTGATGGTTGGACTCAATGATCTTCCAACCCAGACCATCCATGGTTCTATGCATTTCTCACAACTAACGATTCCCAGAAAATGGCTATTTCCTGGGTGCAGCTCCAGGCTTTGAAAAAATACACTATGGAAAGCTTATTTTTGGCTGGAAAAGCCATTGGGGTGTTTCACCAGAGCCAGGGGTTGGCTCTTCCCACCAGGGCTCTGGGAAGAGACGTGGGAGGACACAGCAGGTCCCCTGCCCTGTGCCAGGGGAAAGCAGCGGGACATGGCCGCAGGGGACAGCACAAGGATGGCACAAACCCCACGAGGATGGGGGCGTTTCCAAACGGAAACCTCCAGAGAGATATTTTTTTCAGAACCAAATTTCATCTGGAAAATTCCAAACTTAAAAAAAAAAAAAGATATCACAGAATCACAGAATCTTCGAGGTTAGAAGGGACCTTAAAGATCATCTTGTCCAACCATCAACCTGACTGACAAAAATAGACACCCACACAACAAACAAGGAGCATCATCACTAAACCAGACCTCCCAGCACTACATCAACCCCTCTTTTGAACACCTCCAGGGATGGGGCCTCCACCACCTCCCTGGGCAGCCCATCCCAAGGGCTGAGAACCCTTTCAGTGACAAAATTTTTCCTAATATCCAGCCTGAACCTCCCCTGGCGCAACTTGAGGCCGTTTCCTCTCGTCCTGTCGCCTGGGACTTGAGAGAAGAGACCGCCCCCCACCTCTCTACCCCCTCCTTTCAGGGAGTTGGAGAGAGCAAGAAGGTCTCCCCTCAGCCTCCTCTTCTCCAGGCTGAACACCCCCAGGTCCTTTTCTCCCAGGCAGCTCCAGCCACTCTGCCCCCAGCCTGTAGCGTTGCCTGGGGTTGTTGTGACCGAAGTGCAGGACTTGGCACTTGGCCTTGTTGAACCTCATCAAGGCCATAATATAATCACTAAATAAAAAACTGATTTCCCTCCAGACTCACACCTGAGATGAGGGGAAGAGTTCAGAGACACAAACGGTGTTTATTCACCTCGTTTGTGTCTTTGTCTTAAAAGAACCCCCTGATCCTTGTTGTCTTTTTGTTTCCCACCAAGAGCCTTTTTTCCCCCCGTCCCAAGAGCCTTATTTTTTTTTCCCTTCCTTCACACGGTCGGGGCAGAAAGAGAATGGATGCGGTCGGATAGAGCCGGATGGGTCCTGGATGTAACCAAGTAACAAGGATCCTAGCAACAGGCTGGATGGGGAGGATTTAAAGATAGAAACAAAAGTAGGAATGAACCAGACAATAGAAAAATGCCGCCTCCTTCCCATAAGCACCAGACCCCGAAGCAACACGACCAACGCTTCGACCAAGCCAGCAGGAGATAAACCAGTTCCAGGTGGGGAAGGATGCTCTGGTTGCTGGTTTTGGGGTTTTTTTCTTTAAGGCAAATAGAAAGTATCAGACACAAGTGAGGATTTTTTTTTTAAAACACTTTTACAGTCGTCAGAGTTTTGTACAAATCAAAGCGTCCCTTTTAAAATCTCCATTATTACAAACATACAAAGAAACGATGTTATTACTACAAATCATCGGCTACTCAACTGCATGATCAATTTATCACAATTAAAAAAAAAAACAACCCAAACAACCCATAATAGTACATACAGGGCCTTCCTCCCTCTATTTATTTCTGTATCTCGAGGGAAGCGAAAAAAGCAAAGCCCCCATTTAAAAAAGAAAATAATCCCGTCAATGCACCTCATTTTCTAAAAACGTGTGAAGTATAAAATTAGGTGAGTATTTTCCCGCTGTCACACCCTGGCAAAGTGTAACAACTTTTTTTTTTTTTTTAATTTTTTTCACATCAGAAGTCTATTTAAAAAAAAAAAAGGAAGAACAAAAAAAAAACCCCACATGGCAGAGTGTCTCTGATGCTGCAATGTGCTCCTTCCATGCCGGAAGCCAACATCATCCAAAAAAAAAAAAAAGTGCCTTTGAATAAAATCATCTTTAGTAACAAAAAAAAAAAAAAGAGAAAAAGGATGAAAAAAAAAAAATATATAAAAAAATCACAATCTCTAGTTAAAAGCTTAATAAAAACCCTGACAGAGCAGCCAGCCCTGCATCAAAAAAGATGATTTCTCCTCTTGCTACCTACTGTCAGCGCCGCTCCAAAGGTTTTATCTCCTACTCCTGCACCCCGGGGGTCTCCAAACCCTGAGCTCTTTCCCCCCTCCCCATAGTGGAGCTGGGTGTGGGGCTGGTGAGGAGCTGAGCCGTGCTTTCTGCTCCACACTGGCCAAGTGCTTTTTTTTTATCCAGCCCCCCAAAAGCCCAGGAGAGGAGCCCGGGGAGCTGGAGGGGTCTGCGGTCTCTGTGCTGTTTCCCAGAAGCACATCCCTGTTACAGGGAACTTCCGTAGCCCTTTTATTCTGCTGGTTTGCAATCAGCAGTGAGAAATGTCCCTGGAGAGCCCCAAAAATCACCCCCTGGCTTGGGTCACTGCCTGAGTAAAGCGCTTTCCTGGAGCCAACCCGGCCCCCACTTCTGCATCGGGGAGGGGGCTGTGGGGCAGGGAAAGGGGGAGAGGAGGGTGAGCTCCATCCAGGGGCTGAGGGGAGCAGAGGGAACATCCAAGCCTTGAATCTCTCCTCGTGTAAAGAAACAGGAGGAAGAGATGCTCCCTCACACCACGCTGCAGAAGCCATCAAAGCCCCAGAGGCCACCGAGTAACCAGGACATGGGGGGGGGGAGCACAGGATACGGGGTAAAATTTGGGTCTGTATCATTACACTCTGGCTTCCAACCCAAAAGCTACCAGAACAAAACAAGAAAACACAAACCCAGGCAGTTCAGTTTGCCAAGTTGACATAGAAAAGGAGAAAAAAAAAAAAAAAAAGAAAAAAAAAAGAAACAAACCCAAAAAAATCTTCCAAGATAAATACGTAGCCCCCATTTTGGAAGCATCTTCAAAAAGCTGGATGAACCGTTCTCAGCAGTGGCACAACCTCCCAGTAACATCTGTTGGGCTGGTGATTTATCGGCTTCTCTTTTGAAGAGGGAAGAGTTCAAGGGGGGGAAAAAACCAACAAAAAAACAAAAAACCACCCACAAATCAAGCTCCCACCGCCCGCAGCTCCTGACCGATCTGCGTAAGGACTGGCCACGGCCTCCCAGCAGCAGGTTGGGAACCAGTAAGAAGTCTTAAAATGCAGCAGGTTCCTGGTTGGCAGTGGTGGTAACTGGTTAGGAAAAAAAAACCCTTCCAGAAAGCAGTACTTCAAGGACTGGGGTTGGTCTTTTTTTTTTTCTTTTTAGGATGGCTTGGGACCTCTCCCCGTGGATCACCGTGGGACGGAGACGGAAAGCAGCCACGCTCGAGGGTTCTGTCCAAAGGCAACCACACCCCAGGTGTTTCCATCTGGTCCAGGGCAGCAGGACAGTGACAACACCAAGGTTTTTGGCTTCCAGCGATGGGGCAGGTCTCTCCCAGACTCCTTGGCTAAGGAAAAGCTCCCAGATTTGGGGCGGGGAGGGGTTGAGGGGGAAGGTTTGGTTTTAAGGGGAGGTTATTGCTCCCGACTTCTCAGGTTTTTTGCCCTTGGACAGGGCAGCTGCTTGCTTCAGGAGTTCTCTGTTCTTGGCCTAGAAACAGAGTAAAAATGGGGATTTAATGGCAGGGATCATCACCACTTCCCTAGAGTTGCCTGGACAGGAGCTGTGGCATCCTCTGTGCAGGTGAAAAAAAGGAGGTAGAAGTTGCTGTGCAGCATCACAGCACGAGCTCGAGTCCTGCATCTCATCTCCAACCACCCAGAAATGGCTCTGCCCGTCCCTTCCCCCTCGTGTCCCCCCCTGCTGTAACTGAGAAGTGGCCTGAAAAGTTAACAGCTCCCACCCTGGAAGGTGACAAATGCGCAAGTCCCTGTTAAAGCAGCCAAGGACACTCACCAAGGTCAGGGGGACTTGGCTTCCCTGTCTTCTCCTCTCACCAGCCACCCTGCATCCACAGCGGGAGGGACCAAAGCCCCCATCCTGACTGGTTTTAGGGATTTAAAGGCCAATTTCCCCCACTCTCTTCTATCAAAGAAGCAGGGTGGAGGAGCTGATGGCTCCCCAGATTTGCTTCACCCTTGGTTTTGTCACGTCACAACATTTTATCAGGATTTAGCGCTGTGCTGACCTTGCATCCCTACTAGAAACCTTCTGGAACCCATCAGAGCACCAACAATTTAAGAGTTTCACTCATTTACACTGAATTAAAAATCATGGCAACTTAGGAACAAGGCTCTCTAGCCCCTTTTACCAAACTTCTGAGCTCACTCTCCTCTAGCCCATGTAGTAAATCATGCCATAGCAGTACAAGAAGGGGTAGAATTCATGTGAAACCAGATACAGGTCTTCTGCACTGGTTTCTAGTGAATGAATTAATATGCAAAGTGTTACTAGAGGAATTAAAGCCTCTGCTCCAGTGCTGCGTGCAGTAAAGCAGCTTCTCCTGCAGGCTGGAAGAATACAGGCACCATGAAAAGACAACACAAAATAATAAAAACCAAGAGCACGTTCAAAAAGTGAACCATACGAACGCTTTAAGGCACCTCCAATACACCGAGAGGATTTGAACTTTTATTTTGGAAGCAGTGAAGGAAGTTTCCAGAACCTCAGTCAATAGCAGCTGGAGTAAAACATTCAGAGAGGGGAGAGGAGGAGGAGGAGTTCAGGGCAGTCCCAGTCCCAGCACAGACATCAAACCCCTTTCCACCCAGGAGGGGTGGGTGGCTGGAGGCAAACCTGCTCCTGGAGCTGCTGCTTCCCCTTTCTTTTCAGAGCTGAGCAAGATTAAGGCTGTTGGAAGGTGCCCCACAGCTTTCAAGTCCTCCTCGAGCTACAGCAAAGGCAGCAGCAGGGTATCCTGTTCTCACACACCGAGGAAACAGGGTGCCCTGCCTTAAACCACCACAAAGAGTGTGTGTGTGGGGGGGACATCCCAGGGCTGTCAAAGCAACCAGAAAGCGGTGGTTTGCGCTAATGGAAAATTGTCTATTCAAAACCAGAGTAAACACCAAGTCATTTCTTTGCAGGCCACCCAAAGCTCGGAGATAGAAACAGCTCTGGGCTGCCACAGGCAGCGCGGGGATCAATAAAGCAGAACAGAGACAGAAGGCTCCGGCTGTCACCAGTGCCTCAAACACAAGCCACCAGTGCCTCCCAGCTCACGAGGAGCAGGAGGCTCAGCCAGCCCTCGGCACAACCACACGCAGCTATTCCAACCTCCAGACAGGCTTAAAAACGTGCTTTGGGAAGGGGATCTCACAGGCACCAGCTTTCTGAGGGCGGCTGAACTCTCCGAAACCTGTCCTTGGCTCTGATAATTAACTGGGGTGTGTGCTGATGGAGGAGGGGCTGTTTTCTCAAGGGGAATATAAGCCTTTTGTCTTACCCCCTCCCATTTCTCATGGCTAAAGCTTTAGAGAGTTATAAAGCCCAGAGTAATTAAAGGGTGCAAAGTTCGTTTCTCTGTCTGATTCCTTCCCCGTAACCAGCTCCCCTTTGACCCCATCTCCCTCATGCTGATAGTCTGCCTGGGGTTTCCATGGCCATGACAAAAAAATCCTGCTCTCCCTGTTCCCTCCAGCTCAGGGACTCCTTTATTTATTTGGACTAGAAGAGATCCAGCCCTAAAGGAACTGCCAATTTAAAGCTTTGTTCTCTCTGGTTACTGGTCACATAAATCACATTAAGAGCTACACGGTGCAGGGAGCTGACAAAGGTTCTGGAGAAACAGGTTCAAACCTGATTTTGGCAATAGGTAAAAATGAGTTTGATGGTTCCTGTCTAGTCCTTAGGGGACACAACACAGAGCTTTACAATACAGTGAGTCTGAGTAGAGCAGAGAGCAAGCAAGGAGGATATAAATAGGGGTTATGATGCACCACAGCCTGGTAGAGAGGCTGCAGACAGAGCTGAGAAGTGTCAGCAGAGCTGTGTGTGCAGCAGCTCACAGGGTGGTGTGATCAGGAGTGTCCTCAGCCCCTCCTGGGTAACAGCACAGCTCAGCAAATTAAAAGAAAAATGCCATCACCTGCAACTGCTCCATGACCTCCTTGTGTGTCTTCTCCATTTGGTTCATCTTTGCCCTCATCTGCGACTCCTGGTACTGCAGGTCAGCTTTCAGCTCTGTGATCTGCAGACAAAGCAGTAAGGAGCAAGTGAGCTGGAAGAAGAAACGAAGGCCTCGACCCCAGGCACACCTTGCCCACAGGAAACAAACGCCTCTGCAGAGGTTGAGTGAGACTGGATGAGGTCAGAAACGTGCTGGGGTGGGCAGGGGGAGCACAGTGAGACCAGAATTGTACCACTGGGCAGCACGGAGAAGCAGGAGCAGCCAGGGCTGTCTCTCTGCACAGAGCAGCATGGGTTTCTCTCAGTCTTGCCCCCACCCAGAGGTCTCTGAGACAGCGGTCAGAAAATGACCTTTCATGAAATGAGATCTCCTGGGTGGGTCCAAAAACCCTCTTTGACTTTGGAAATGAGACAGCCTGGAAACAGCCAGAAACTCTCTTGCTCGCTCAAGAGATAAAAAGCCAAGCTCTGCTGGAGTGGGATCTGGGTGAATATGTCAGCAGGATGTGAGGGGAAGCAAGCCAAGGGCTGTACCTTCTTCTCCTTCTCCAAAATCATCTGATCTTTCTGGTGCAGCATCTTTTTTAAAGTAGCCACTTCCTCCTTCAGCTGGGCAATGATAACAAAGTGGTCAGTGCCAGGAGAGTCCAGGGCGAGGTCCGGAGAAAAACTGCAACAGAGAAGAGGGAAAGACTCTCATCATGACCTCTTCTCTTAATTGAGGCAGGGAAACTCCCACAGATGGCACTGGAAGGAGAACAGAAATCATTTCCTGGCCCACCTTGTGTCTTCCAAACACTCCTCGAAGGCGGGTGTTACCTGTTTCCCTGCCCTGGGTGCCACGTGGAGTTTGGGAAATGCATGGTATGACAGGCAGCAGGGCTTATGTGTGATGTATGGAGTTGTATTATTGCATGACCTGCAGGGACATGGGACCTCTACGAGTGACATCAGCCAATGTCTGCAGCAACCATTCAAACAGAAAGGACCCCTTTTCCAACCCAAGAGCTGGGGACAGCAATCAGAGAGCTAATGAAGCTGTGCAACCACTTAGGAACCCTCTTCGCTCACAGGCAGCCCTTGGATCTACAGCAAAATTTTTCACTAAATATAAACAAACGTTCTGGCAAGGAAGGAACATGAAACAAACAACCTCAAGTTAAACAAACAAAGCAAAGGGAGATACCTAAATTAAAGTCAGCACTGTCCTTGGCAGGGAAAAGGGGGGAAAAAAGACACGCTGGACTTTTGCATTTTGATTCCACCATGATACAGCAGTTTAGGAAGAAGTTTTATCACCACTTCAGAACAGGAAAGACTCCCTCCAGAAGACAGAAAAACAGTCAAACACACCACTTGTGCAACCAGGTTCTCTAAACCAAAGCAACTGGCTGAAAACTTATCTGGACGAGTCACTCTCCTGCTTTGGTGGTTCACAAACAGCCCTATGAGACACCCAGTGAACCAGGCAGCCACGCAGAGTCTTGCATTACAGGAATATTTCAGATGGTGAGATAGGATAAGCTGCAGCCACAGGCCCAGGGGCCTCACCTGATCTTTGCCTGCCTTCTGTTCCTCACGGCTGTAAATGCTTAAACCTGATTTTTATCTCTGGGTGCTAAAAGGGCAGCACACTCCCAGCCACGCACACCTGAAATTGCCATATAAAAATTTAACAGTAATAAGACAACAAAAGCTTCACCTGGAAGATTACTTCAAGTCTGGCTGTTATCAGACAGCCCTGCTGCTACAAAGATAAATGGCCAGGGTTACCTAAAGCCTGACATTATTTTAAAGCCTCCAGAGTAGGTCAATACATGTCCTAAAGCCTGCATTCAGCAGGTCTGAACCCGAACTGCTGCCTCTCTCAACTACATGGCCACCTCCCTGCTTCCAGTCCCCCCCAGCACACCCAGGCAGAGAGTACCGGTCTCCTCTTGTGCCTGGAAATAATCCATTTTCTAATTAAAAGCCCAGTCTGCATCGTTTGGACTGGTTAGCAAGGATGTGGCAGAAGAAAAAGGCTCTTTTCACCGCTGTGCTGGGGAATCTAGGGAGGGAAACTAAGCAGGAGCAGCCTCACGGAACTGAAAGTCAGAGGACAGCCCCTGAGGCACTGGGAGAGAAAGCTTGGCAAAGGAAAAATTGGGAATGGAAGGGTCTGGAGGAGGCAGCCCGGGGTGGAAGAGTCCTTCATGGTTAAAACATGCTGACAGCAGAGCCCACAGCATGGGATGTGGCAGGTCCCTGGGTACACCCCGCTCTAGCGCTGTGCTTGTCACGCTGGGCAGCTCTGGAGCACAGAAAAGGTTCATCCACACACACAGCCTGGCAGAGAAGATGGAATATCTCCATTTTAAAACCATTCCTGAGTACAGTTTCCACCAAGCGGGGGCTGTGCAAGATGAGGGTGGGTGCTCCAGCACCTTTCTGTGTGCAAGCATGTTACCAACAGCAGCTTTCATTTCCCACTCAGTGCAAATATGCTGGGGAGGAGAGAAAGAAAGGGGGGAAAAAAAAAAAAAAGGCTTTTTTTTTTTCCCTCTGTGGAGGCTGCTTTCTCACTGATTCCCTCTGGCTAAAAACAAACTCCTGCTCACACCATTCCTTTGCCCAGGCAAGCTTCCCTCCTGCCATATCCTGGGGGGATGAAAAGTGCTGGGAGATGCTTGCATTTCCCCCAGCAGCCCCAGCAGGAATAATTCCCTTCTCCTGCAGCTCCTGTTGCAGAGCAGGCTGTGGAGCCTGGGAGGTGAGAGCCAGCCCTGCCACCCAGTGGGGAGAAGGGACAGGAGGGCCACCAGCCTTCCACAGAGCCACTCTCACACTCAGCAGAGCTGGTAGCCAGCCCCAGGGCTTCAAGGGCCATCTCCTGCCCAGGGTCTGCACCCACAAGTGGGTAACGGTGGGCTCAGGGTGGCCAGACACCCCCTCCTGGCAAGTACATGAGCATGGACAAGTATTTTTCTGTCCAGCTGCTGCAAAATGCACCCTCAATTGTGTCAAGGTGGATCAAAGAAGCAGAATTTCCCCCCTCTCCTCGTTTTTTATTTTTCGAATGACTGACAAGTTAGTAATGAAAGGTTTCTCTGTCTTAAACCCCACCTGAGACTCCAAAATTAGAAGGAAAACTGCCAAATACAAGTTGCTCTGTTCATTTAACAAACAGATTAAGAATTTAACCAACCAACCAAAAACATTTCCCCTACAAATAAACTCCATACCCAGGATCCTAACCCCTTGGGATAGGTCGGGGGCACACGTGCTTTGAGCAGTCTAAAATGCCTGCCTCTAATTAAAGTGAATTGATGAGCTCCTGTTGCTTTCAGTGGAGACAGAGGAAAAAACATGGAGCTCTTCCAAAGACACCTGCCTCTATCGAGTGGAAAAGACACCAAAATGACTGCCTTAAACTCCACACCTCCTAAATGGCTGAAATCAGGCAAAATAAATGCCAAACTTGAAGATTTTGCTATTCAATCAGGCTAGCAGAGAGAGGGAGAGACCAGGCTGACCCAACCAGCATCCAAGTCTCACCTTAGACAAAAATAGCCCCCCGTGTGCAAAAATCCATCCAGGCCAACAGGAACCAGCACCTGAACTTAACGCTTCCTCTGACACCACCAAGAGCAGGCACAGCTCAGCAGAAGCCCCAGTGCTTTAAGTGCATGCTAAGGCTTTTCTATGTAAATTATTATCTTTTTACTAAACAAACTTTGCTGCTCAGCCTCCTGCAGCATCACTGCTCTCCCCCCAGCCAGCTCAGTCCGTAGCGCTCGTCATTGCCTGGTGTTAAAAGCACAATTTAACACCTTGTCTATAATCACAGGAGAAGGGACTGCAACGAGTCTGGAAGGCAAAAAACCTTCTGGCAGCGTCTGCACAAGAAGATGGGGACACCAAACCCTGCCTGAATCAGGAGCAGCACAGCAGCAGAGGCTGGAGGTGACACCGGGGGGGTCACACAGAAGTAGGGGCAGCCCAGGACAGTGGGATTAGTAGGACAAGGTTGGCTGCAAGATGTTCTGAGAGTTACAGCAGGGAAAAGCCACTCCATGTGCAGCAGGGACAGTGCTGTCAGCTCCTCACAGGGCTCACCTGGCACCAACCATTCAATGCCACCCATTAATGCCACTGGGCTCCCCAGTTCAAGAGGGACAGGGAACTACTAGAAAGAGTCCAGCGAAGGGCAACAAAGATGATTCAAGGATTGGAGCATCTCCCTTATGAGGAGAGGCTGAGAGAGCTGGGACTCTTTAGTCTGGAGAAGAGAAGGCTGAGGGGAGACCTTATCAATGCCTACAAGTATCTCAAGGGAGGGTTGAAGGAGGAGGGAGCCAGACTCTTTTCAGTGGTTCCCAGTGAGAGGACGAGGGGCAACGGGCACAAGTTGGAACATAAGAGGTTCCACTCAAATATGAGGAGAAACTTCTTCACGGTGAGGGTGACAGAGCCCTGGAACAGGCTGCCCAGGGAGGGTGTGGAGTCCCCTTCTCTGGAGATTTTCAAGACCCACCTGGATGCTCCTGAGTAACATGCTCTGACAAGCTCTGGGCAATCCTGCTTCAGCAGGGGAGTTGGGCTAGATGATCTCTATGGTCCCTTCCAACTCTAAAATTCAGTGAAATTCAGTGAAATGACCCTGGAAATCGCTCAGTCCCCATATCACAGCCATAGGGAGCAACATCCACTCCAAAATACGTGAAAAAATACACACAGAGGGAATTCACTAAGACCCAGGAAAGGAAGCAAAGGAGCAACAATTTCAAACAAGCTGGACCCTGTTGGAGATGTTGCCAAAGTCAACTGAGCTCAAGTGTGCCCACATTTTTGCCCATCAGAAGTTTAGCTACAGCCTGTGGCCAAGACATGCCACTGATCTCAGCAGCAGAGAGGGGCTGGTTGTCTGTCACCCCACCACAGACTACGCCGCTACCAAAAACATCCCTGTACTGCCACAGACCCTGACTCCACACTCAGGCTCTGCCCCACACTCCAGGCTGACTCTTACAGCAAATCCTGCAAGAGAGGAGGGTTTCTGGGGGGTTCATCCTCACCAAAAACAATCCCAGCAACTCCAAAAACCACACTTGATGAACCACCATTATTATTCCTCTCAAGAAACGCAGCCATGGGTCTATTTAAGGCAGCTGCAGCTTGCCTCTTCTACAGCACGTTGCTGGAGCTCTTCAGTAGATGCTAAAATTACACACAGTTTGTTACTGGGATTCATCAAAAAAAAAAAAAAGAGTCTGTGGTGAGGACCACAGCCTTGGCAGGAGCCAGACTGACAACATCTGACACAAGAGCAAAAGGAAGGCTTTTGGTTCCTTTAATACCTGCTCCTGTTTTACAAATGAACAGCTGAGCAATTGATGATGAAAATTGAGATTTTCAAGCCAGCAGGGGTGTTACAGTGAGTTGTTAGGTCTCAGCTCAGGTATTAGGGAGCAGATAAAAATACCTGGTTGGTATCTTAATAGCCCGGAGAGAAGCTTCAGCAGGAGCCTCTCTAGAGGGAAAGCTGATGGGCTGCACCAGTTCTGCCAGGGACCTGTCTCCAGTCTCCCCACTGGCTCCACCACCACTGAAGGCAGGTGGATGACTTCCCTGACCACTCCGTGCTCAGCCACGGCTCCCAAGCCACAGTTAATCCTTAAATTTTCCCAGCTTTTAACTGAAAACACCATTTAGATGATTAATGGTCTTTTAGACCACTCTGGAAGGAATCACTGCCTTATAAAATTATTTAAGTTCTATTTCCCAGCGTAGCATTTCACATTGACAAGGTGTCAATAGTATCTACAGGAAAGATGTGATCTGTGATCTCAAAGAATCACAGAATCACAGAATTTTCCAGGTTGGAAGGGACCTTAAAGATCATCTTGTCCAACCATCAACCTAGCTGACAAAAATAGACACCCACACAACAAACAAGGAGCATCATCACTAAACCAGACCTCCCAGCACTACATCAACCCCTCTTTTGAACACCTCCAGGGATGGGGCCTCCACCACCTCCCTGGGCAGCCCATTCCAATGGCTGAGAACCCTTTCAGTGAAAAAATTTTTCCTAATATCCAGCCTGAACCTCCCCTGGGGCAACTTGAGGCCATTTCCTCTTGTCCTGTCGCCTGGGACTTGGGAGAAGAGACCGACCCCCACCTCTCTACACCCTCCTTTCAGGGAGTTGGAGAGAGCAATAAGGTCTCCCCTCAGCCTCCTCTTCTCCAGGCTGAACACCCCCAGCTCCCTCAGCCTCTCCTCATAAGATTTATTCTCCAGACCCCTCACCATCTTTGTTGCCCTTCTCTGGACCCGCTCCAGCACCTCGATGTCTTTTTTATGGTAGGGGATAGGAAGAAAAGACATTCAAGGCAGGCAGCGATTAATTAATTACCAGTGGCTTTAACAGACCCTTTGGCACTAACGAGCCTATGCTCTGCTCCCAATTCACTGCTGTTTGGAAAGAGATCCGTCGAGAGGGGCAGTTTCCATGGAGGAGGCAGTTCCCAGTGGAGGGAGGGAGGGCAAGAAGGGAGAAAACAACTGGTGATCTCACTTCAGGATGTCAGTGCCGTGAGAAACAGGACAATGGTGGGCACCGAGACTCTGTTGGGAAGCCAACGTGGACGGGGCACTCTGGGTAGGGGGACAAAGCATCTCGGGAGAGGAAGGAACGCTGAGAATCAGAGAGGAAAGGCAGGAATGAAAATATGCATGTACAAGACCGTAAAAAAATAAAAAAAAAATAAAAAAAAGAAATCCATTTCCATCTCCTGTTTCTGCTACTGCCTCCCGTTCTGCTGCACACCCAGCTGGCGTCAACAGAATCCAGCACAAACTGTGACAGCAGAATGGCATCGGGTGCTTTCGAGCAAAGCTGTTTGATCGCCTGTCCCTCCCCCAGAAGGCAGGAGGGGAAACAGGAGGTGGGTCTTGATCCTCTCCTCTGAGGCTGGCTCTCTGCAGATCAGCCCCGAAAGCACAAAACCTGCAGCCCTCAACTCTACAGAGCAGCCAAAAGCCCCACTCTCTCCCTGGAATAGCAGAGAGAGGATAAAGCTGATCTGGCTGCAGTTTTTCTAACTGTTGGGGAGCTCAGCCAACAAGCAGTTTCTGGTTTAGGAGGTACAGGCACTAGGTATTCCTTTCCTCTTCAATCCTATGTCTAAATGCCAAATAATGCTGGCCTGCCAGCTTCTGGAAAGCTGCAAACGCAGCCCCTGGAGTTCCCAAAGCCCAAGATCCCTGCTCTAGGATAAGCTTCCTCCTATTTGCACAGAACTCTGTCTTATAAAAACTTAGCAAACAAGACCGCCCACCCGCAATTTCCCCATGTACCAGGCTCACCTGTCACCATTGGCAGATATGGCATCAAACTTGGCTTTCTTCTTTGGGATTTCGTTCTGAATAGAAGAGGTGGATAAGGTTTTCTGGCTAGAAAAATGAGGAAATTGTATGTCAGAACCTGAATGACTCGCAGTCTAAGACAGAGAAGCAGATAAATATTCCCACCCACTTTGAATCTATTCAAACAAGATTTCCTAGCGCAAGGAAGAATGATAAAAAATTCATTCCTTCAAGAGTAGCTGGAGACTAAAAATAAACAGAACACAATGCGTCAGTCAGATCAGTAGGCAGGTGAAGAACCGACACTTAAAATCTACATTTCAATCGCTGAATCTTACAAATGCAATTTAAGCTTTAATTGAGCACAAGTTCAGGAAGCTGAATCACTAAGAAGCACTGTTGGGCTACGAGCTGACTCCGGCGCAGCGGGGTTTGCAAACCAGCAAAGCCTGACTCAGCCAGATCCTCCTGAAGGACAGAAAACTGCCAAAACCCATCTCCAGGGTGTGCCAAGCCCCCAAGGAACTTCTCCCAGTTATTTTAGAAGTGTACCCAGGGAGTGCAGAGCAGCCAGGGAGGCTGTTTTCTCACCCTAAGACAGGGAAAAAGCTCCTTCAGGTTACCTGTTATAGTGGCTGCCACTGCTGAGCCTGCTGTACTGTTCCTTCTCTTGCAGGCTGGCCCGGGAAGAGCTGCTCAGGTGTTTGCACTGCTCTTTGGTCTTCTGTAGGACCCGTTTATAGGACAGGGTGCACAACCAGCACAGCAGCTTGCCATCCACCTGGAAGAGGAGAGAATAAAAGGGGGGGATAGTTTTTGGTCTTGCTTCCTGCCCACAAACCAAACTAAGAGGAGACAAGAAGCACCTTCAGGCTTAAACTCGCATCCGAACAAGCAGCGATTTAAAAAGGATCCCTTGAGGGCCTGGAAGGGGTAAAAATTGCATCCAGGATGGCTGGGATGCAGGCAGTACTCATTAATAGCAGCTTATCTATCTTAATGATAGTCTCTGCCAAATTTTGCTTACAGACCAACTTATAGCACCCATTCACCAGGACAGACTACCTCTGGTGGCATTTCTGTCGAAGGTATGTGACAGGGTAGTCACCAGAAACCAAAACGGGGAGGGGTCTCTGCTTGAGGAGGATCAGCAGGAAGACAGGGATTATCAGCACAGCAGCCCAAAAGAACACGAGATGTTCATAGCCTGCAGGAAGGAGGCCTTAGAAACACACACCTCCTAAAGAGCACTCATGTTGTTTAAGCACAGTGTGTGCAGAAGCTGTGGAATGGGTTTCCTGATGGAGGTGTGACACTTCCAGCTCCTTAGGCTACGGCACAAATATCTCTCTCCACCCTCTCCCCAAGCAGAACCTCACCTTGCACTCCTTTGCCAGCCCACCTACCCCTAGGCTAAATTGAAGAGATGTTTCTCAGCAGACCTGGCAAAGGAGTAGAGGGGCTCAAAGACTAAACAGCTCCAAAACACAGCTCCCACAGCAAAGCTCAACTCTGGAAAAATACTTTACAACCAAGAGACACCCCCTTTTGAAACGCTGGAGAATACACGAAGGAGATGGACAGACAATCAGTGTCATCAGCCTTTTTACCTTTCCGGCCTCCTTTTCCAGAGATACTGACCTTCTTTCTGTCATCCTTGCGGTCAAACGCGCACTGCTGCTTGCACTGCTCACAGGAGTGAGGAGGGCCATACTTCTTTTCCGAGTTTGTGCAACGCTGGCACTTGTTTCCAATAAAGGCTGCTATGATGTTGCAGTACTGGCAGGGTTTGGGCTTTAAGAAACAAGAACAACTGATAACAGCAGTGCCTTCTAATTACATTCATACATTGCCCTTTCCTCTTCTCCCCATCGCTTCAGAACTTTTGTTTCCTCCTTCCAAGCTAAGTATTACACTGAGCCAGGAGACACAACTCCATTTGAACCCCTGGTCTCCACCCGTGGCACCCAGACCATTCATCAAGGCCTAAGAAATCTTTAGAAGATGTATAACAACAAACCAGAAACAATCAAAATTGTTTTTTTCAGGTTTCAGACAAGCAAGCAAGAAAGATCTATCACAGCTTCCTGCAGCAATCTCAGTTTGTGCAAGCACGCTCTTATTTCTATTGGATATTGAATAGTTCATTTCCTGGCCTCAAATGATGCAGAGCTGCTCTTTGCCGCACTAAAAGGAGAGAAAAAGGTAAAAGCTTCATGCTTGAGGGACCCACGTATTATTGATCAGTCACGCTATTACAACAGAGCCAGCCCATAAAACTGCTCTGGGATTCAGCAGGATAAAGACAGGAATGATGAAAAGAAAAGAGCCTGGTGAGAACGAGCCCTGCTCACTTACCGTTCCGTAGAGCTTCACGTTCTGAGCACACTTCTTGCATATTGTGTTGGTTTTGCTGTTAAAAAGAAGGACAGATCATTTTATTAACACTTCCACAAAGAAAATGAAACCTCTGTGGTTAGGATCTCAGTCTCCCCTAGGCTCCATCTCTACTGGCAAGACTATATTCATCTTCATTAGGGACCCAGATATCAAAGTGCATTTCCTGTACCCATCTGGTTGAGGATAATTTGCCAAAAAAGTAGTATTAGTAGGAGGCATCTTTTAATTAAGGCATCCCTAGATGACACCAGTTTTTTTTTTTTTGTCCTTATGAATACAGGAGTCTGATCAACAGCTAATTGGCAGCAGGCGTGACTCAGCACTGGTGACAGCCCCAGCTCTGGAGGAGGTCCTGTCTGGATGTCGAGGTTAAAGGAGGACACACACACCTCTCTCCTGACCAACAAACACAGGAAAAGAACACCCCACACGCTGCCCGCAAGCAGCTACTGGGTTTACCAATCCTTGCTCTGGAAGCTACATAACTTGCAAAAATATAAAAAAGGTAAAAACACAGCTAAAAGAAATAATTTTTGGATACCAGAGATCAGATAAGAGGAAAACTTGGGGGAAGATGCACCGAGATCCTTCACTGGAAGATGCATCTGAGCACGGACCAAAAACAAAAAACAAGCAAAAGGTGTACAAAACGTGTAAATCTAAGGACGGAAGCACATGGACCTGCCCAGCAGAGCTTTGAGGAAGGCCAAAGTTCCCCCCAGTATTCCACAGCAACGATCTGCTAAGGCTCGGTCAGCAAAGGCGTGGGTGCGTCTGTTCTAAAAGAAAACATCACCCAGCATTTACCTTTCCTGCTGGAATTCAGTCCTGCAGTAAGTGCATTTGACAATGGGATGCGCAATCCGGCACTCCTGCAAAGACGGAAGCGTTTGGTGAGATGCAGTGCTTCTCTCACATACCATTTCCCAAAAAATCCTAGATTGCCCGCTGACCTCTGCTCCCACCACACGCCCACACATCCCTCAAACTCCAAACGCTTCCTCCCTGTACACTCAAGCTCCTCTTAGGAGGGCTGGGAGCAGAGGAAGGGCAGCAGGAATGGCATGTGTCACAGGTGAGCCACAAGTAAACTGAGATGCGGAACCAGGGCTTATTTGTGCCCGACGCCCACAGACAAGGGTCACGGTGCTTGGACTCACCTCCCAGGGCAGGAACACGGAGTCCTGCCACAGTTATTCACACCTCTGCCCTCCACAACCTTCCTGTGCCCGTGGGGCCTCTGGACCCGCTCTCCTCTCACCCCTACTCCTCAGAGGTTCCTCTACGCCCGCCTGCTTCGCCCCATCTGCTTCAGCAATCCCAGCCTGCTGCCCCCTGTTCCCTGCCTCATCCCTGATCTCATTCTTCCCCACCCAAACTGCCCCACCCAGCCAGACTGCACCCCAAAACCCACCTCCCTCCCTTCCAGACCTCCCTTAAATGTCCCCCGACCCTCCCAAACACCCCGGCATCCCCCAAATGCCCCAGCCCCCTCCCCTTTGCTAACAGCCTCCATCACAAACAGCCCTTCAGTTGCCCCCAGGCCTTCTCACACGAACAGCGTCCATCTACCCCCCAAATTCCCCCTAGTGACCCCACAATTCCCTCTCCAACGCCCTCCAAACACCCCCAGAACCCCCCAAACAGCCTGCACCGCCCTCAAGTCCCCCTGACAAACAGATCCTGTCCCCAAATCCGCTTCCCCCAAGCGCCCCCGCCGCCGCCCCGGGCCCCGCCGGCTTCCCCCGGACCTTGCAGAGTTGCTGGCCCTGGCTGAGCGCCTCGAAAGGGAAGCGCTGGTGGCACTTGGTACAGGCGTAGAGCGCCGCCATCCCGCCGCCCCGCTGACAGGCGCAGCCCAGCCCGCCCCGGCCGCCCGGCTGCACGGCCCCGCCCCCTCCCGCCGCTCTCCCCCCTCGCCATTGGTCACCCACCGCATCACTCACGCCTCGCCCGCTTCTCATTGGTCAGCGCAGCCGTCATTCATCGGGCGGGGGCGGAGCAGGACCGCCTCCTCCTTCCTCTCCTTCCCCCCCCCCCCCCCCCCCCCGTTGACGTCACGCGCCGGGGCGCTACGCGGTGACGCAACCTCCCGGCCCGCCCCCTCGGCGTGACGCGACGGCACGGGGGCGCGCGCGGCGCTGGGGAGGTCGCGTGAGATCGCGCAGGGCGGGGAAGGGGGGGGCTGCTGCTGGCCCACAAGGCCTTGCGCGAGGGGACCCGGAAGTGGGGCTGGGCCTGGGCCTGGCCTGGCCTGAGGGAAGGGAGTGAGCTGGGCCCGGGCTGAGCTGGGTCGAGGGCAGGGGAAGGGGCAGAGCTGGGTTGAGGGCCTGGAGAAGGAGCTGGGCTCGGGCTAGGACTGTGGAAGGGGCTGAGCTGGGCCCGGGTTGAGGGAAGGGGTTCAGCTGGAGAAGTGAGCTGGGCCAGGCCTGGGCCGAGTAAGGGTCAGAGCTGGGCCCAGGCCAAGGGAAGGGGCTGAGCTGGGCCAGGCCTGAGCTGAGGAAGGGGCAGAGCTGGGCCCAGGCCAAGGGAAGGGGCTGAGCTGGCCCCAAGTTAAGGGAAGGGGCTGAGCTGGGCTAGGCCTGGGCTGAGGAATGGGCAGAGTCAGGTCAAGGCCAGGGCAAGGGGCTGAGCTGGGCCAAGTTGGGGGAAGGGGCTAAGCTGGAGAAGTGAGCTGGGCCAGGCCTGGGCTGGGGAAGGGGCAGAGCTGGGTCGAGGGCAGGGGAATGGGCTGAGCTGGGACAGGACCTGGAGAAGGAGCCGGGCCTGGGCTAGGCCTGGGGAAGGGGCTGAGCTGGGCCCAGGCCAGGGGAAGGGGCTGAGCTGGGCCCGAGTTGAGGAAAGGGGCTGAGCTGGGCCCAAGTTGAGGGAAGGGGCTGAGCTGGGTCGAGGGCAGGGAAATGGGCTGAGCTGGGTCAGGGTCTGGAGAAGGAGCTGGGCCTGGGCTAGGCCTGTGGAAGGGGCTGAGCTGGGCTGAGGAAGGGGCAGAGTCAGGTCAAGGCCAGGGTAAGAGGCTGAGATGGTCCAAGTTGAGGGAAGGGGCTGAGCTGGAGAATGGGCTGAGGTGGGTCTGGGTTGAGAGAAGGGGCCGAGCTGGGTTGAGGCCTGGGGAAGGAGCTGGGCCGAGCCAGGCCAAGCCAAGGCTGAGCTGGGCTGGGATAAGGCCAGAGGAAGAGCAAAGGAGGGGGGTGTCAGGGCTAATAAGCCCCACTGGAAGGGCCGTAGCTGGTGTGTGTTAGGGGAGAGGAGGATGAGGGGGGTGTGCAGGCCCAGAGGAGGAAGGGAGGCTGGGTTAGGGCAGGGTTTAGGGGCTGGGGAGGTAAAGGAGCTGCTGCAGGGAGGGCAGGGTGTTTGCAGAGGTGTGTGAAGGAGGGTGTTGGGTCTGGAGGGAGGAAGGGAGCAGAAGGCAGTGGGGAGGAGTGGGTGGCTCCACCTTCAGAGCGGACCTG